TCCTTCAAGGCTCAGGGGTCCAAGATTATCTTCTGTGTCTGTGTTAATTGGTTTCCCTTTTCTTTGTTGAAGAGGGTCTGTGCAATCCTTCTGCCTAGTCTGCCATCTTGCCCCGCCTCTGGCAACTTGATTTTTAAAAACCTTAATGTTTACCTTAATTTATTACCACCATCAGTTCTCTTAAATTATCATCATCCTAAGTTCTCTTTTCAGCTTATAGCATGCCACTACCACTGTTACTCAGTCTTATCAATAACAATGAAAGATTCTATATTAAATTAAGTATTTATTTGGGTGAAGGGAAAGGCAATATACCAAAAAACAAACAAACAAACAAACAAAACATTCTATATTATATGGTATATCTAATTGCAAAGCAACATTGTTAAATTTTGACTGCAGTTCCTATCAAAGGTTTGTTCCTCATTCTTGCCCCTTAATGTTTATAGCCTGAATGAATAAACTCTTCTGAGACGTTGCTGTTGTTATGTGCCATCAAGTCGGACCCGACTCATAGCAACCCCTCCTTGGGTATCTGAGGTGGTATTACTACGTTAGTAGATTGCCCAACCTTTCTTTCCAGGAGTGGCTGCATTTAATACGTAGGGTGATAAGTGCCACAGTGCTAGGGAACTTGTGCAGATCAACTCTCCCTGAATCCTCCAACCCCCCAGGGAGCAAGACTTTGGTCTTAAAGGAAGAAGAGGCCTGACAAATTCCATGGATCCAAATGACTTTTCAGGGTTCCTCTAAATCAAAATTTCAGTAAATGTATTTTGTTGTCTATTATTATGCTAAATACAACAGGATGAACCAAAAGGGTTTGAGACCTTTGCAAAGAATATTTAATGCTGGGGTAAATACTGTGGCAGAAAATGGTGTATATATGTAAGACTACCAAAATATCACTCCTCTTTCTTAGAAATAGTATAACACTCTATTTTAAGGAAGTACATTTAAAATGAATGGGAAAAAAAAAATCATCTAATGGAAAACTGTAGCACCAATCATCAACCTAGTAGATTTAAACCAATCTATTAGGTTTAAACAGAATTTTACATAAGTCTATCTAATAAATGTTGCTGTCTTCTTTAGGGCAGTGGCTCCAAGCAGCAGGATGCATGTTGATGAGCCTGGATTCCTGTGTGTAGTCATTAAGCTGTGCCCCTCTAAGCACCCAAAGCTGGATAAACAATGCTGTACACAGAGAAACACAGCTATTTAAAATATACACACGTTGCGGTGACAGATAAAATATAAATATATTGAAAAGAGAGGGTTATAAAATGCTACTAACATAATCATTAAAGAAATGCTGCCAAATCAATGAATATTTAAAGTACCATTATTGTGGGGAGTCTGGAATTCTGGTAAGATTCCCATGCTCAAAAAAGTTATAAATTATTAGAGAAAAACACAAAATAGATTAATGGATATATTCAAAATGCATTCTAGATAACAGATTTAACGAAACAAAGAATACTTACAATTACATCAAATTTGGAATAAATATCTACAACTTTTCCTAAAAATGAAAATATATGTTAGAAAAATATCTTAGAAACAAAAAACAATTAATTTAAAATCAATCTTAAAAAGAAATCAAACCCATTGTCATCAGTTCTGACTCACAGCTACCCTGTAGGACAGAGTAGATCTGCTCCACAGGGTTTCCAAGATGGTAAATCTTTACGGAAGCAGACTGTCACATCTTTCTCCCATGGAGTAGTTGGTGGGTTCAAGCTGCCAACCTTTCAGTTAGCAGCCAAGCACTTAACGACTATGCCACAGGGCTCATTATAATCAGGTATTAAAATAATCAGGGATTAAATACTAATAAATAAAATTAACGTGTCTATTTTTAATTGGACACGAAATTATATCTTAACAAAAAATAAGAAAATAAGCCAGTTTAAAATCCTTATTACCTTGTGTACTTCTTGGTGCTGAATTTACCCACTCGATATAAATTTTCACTTTTCCCACTTATCTGATATGCTAGGTCATTTACAAATTTTACCCCAGTAAGATAAGCAGTTGTTTCTGTTTAACTGGTATGGCCAAACACACAAACCTGACTCATCCACAACAGGCAAAGCTGATATTCGTCTTTCTACAAATATGTTCAAGGCTTTAATGATAGGAGTGTCTGGATATATAAAGGCAATGTTGTGGTATGTTCCTATTCCAAGCTCATCCAGGTTCTGCTTCATGAAGGCAGGCTTTGGCATATCAGACATCTAAACAGGAAGATAAACGCAAATGTTCTAGAACCAAAATATACCTTTTTAATGTTCAAATGTCCACATTTGAGTGAAAAATTATGTATAAGCAAATTAAAGTTAGTCTTCTCTAACAGTCTACCTGGTTGTTTGAATTAATGTGAAGAAACTGACATATTAAGAACTGTATTTTTTGTTCAAACCAGCTCATATACCTTTACTTGATATTTAATAAAATATTGAACAGCACTAAAATGTTAACTTTTTTTCCTTCTCCTCTTTATCTACTAAAAAGTGGATAGAAGAAGAGAATAGGCCTATTCAGGAAATTAACACCTGACAGCCATCAAGAATTCTTTCTTCTAATGTTTATACATTGGAGGACATTTTCTTTGTTGGTTACCAGGGGTGGGAGGGAAGGGGAGGGAATGCTGTTAGATAGATAGAGATAAATAGTGATTTGGGTGAAGAGAAGGGCAATGTACCAAATGTGAGTGACCAATATGGCAGCATTGAGGATGAGAAAGACAGAGAGAGTTACATGGGCAGTACAAACAACAAATATGAACCCCTTTGTAAATACAATACTGAGTTGTTAATGAAAGCAAATATGGGTATAGGGACGGATAGATGGGTGAACAAGCTAAACAATTATGTATGTCTAAATGGAGAGTGTATCCAAGATCATATACAGGGTTGGCAGAAAATGGGCCTCGAAGAGTATGAAGGGATGGACACTGGGAGGAGGTAACTATGGGGAGGAAGTGGGAGGGGAGCTGCTGCATTGTAAATTTTGGTCAATGACATGAGACAAAGTATATGTGAACTGCTGTATGAAAAGTGAATTTACTCTGTAAATCTTCACCCAAATCCTAATAAAAAAAAAAAAAAAAAGAGAGAAAAAAAAAAAAAAAAGAATTCTTTCTTCTTAATTATGTACATTACATCCTGATCCTGCTATTAGCTTTAAGTGGTATGTACTGAGAATCCATACATTTCCAAACCTACTATTTAGGCACGTGCCGATGGCTGCGCTGAGCCCAAGTGAACTAGTCCTCAAATATCCCACCTCTATGTCCTAACACACCTTTGAAGGACTGTAATTTTTGTCTACTAGGAACAAACAACAAGCCAGCTGAACAGAATTAGAAGAATCTTTAAAAATTAACTTTTCCTTTCATGGGCTGTTTTAAAGGAGGAGGGAGAAGTCAGAAGAGAAAAGTCTAGGATCACATTTGACTATAGCAAAATAAGGTCTATGGTTTCAAAAATCCACCTTTTATAAAGGGTACAGTTGATTCCATCCTCCTGGTGTACCTTATAATTATCAGGAAAAGATGAACAATTAGAAGAAACAAAATGTTCAAGTCAAAGAGTTCATCAATATTCAAAGCATGAGAATCCTAGAAATTTAGAGAAAAAAAAAAAAAAAAAAGAAAAAAAGAAAGACCTATTAGGTCATCTAGTCCATCTCAATACAGGATAATTCCCTGTTCTTTACTATATGCTTAGGCTGATCTTCAAATGTCCTGATGGGTAGTGCTAACTTTTCTCAGAAAATGATCTCATCAGTAAAAACCAGGTTCTCATATTTATTCATCAAAATTCTACATTTTAATCTGAAAATCTCTACATGAATATTTTAGTGTATTAGAATATTTGGAATGTGCTAATTACCATGTTGGCCCAAATCTAAGGTAGTACTAGACAGAGGCAACCTGTTCTATTTTTATACAAGAGAAAAATCTAAAGTACGTACGCTAAAGGACTATCTGAAATGTCCACTTGCTTCTTTTATCACAGCATAGCAGTAAGAACAATGCAGGCTTTAAGGCTTTGACCTCTTGGGTTTGAAGTTGATCGCTAAGCAGCTGTGTGACTTTGGGCCCCATTCTTAAGCCTCCTGGTTCAGATGCTACATGTGCACAATGGAAGTAAAAATGTCTCCCCCTCACTGTCTGCTGGCGGAGAGTACCACAAGGTTAGGAGTGGCTGCTGGGTCAGAGTGTACAGTTCAGATGCTGCTCTACCATGATCAGCCACCAGTCTAGGAAAATACCTGAACCTCTTTTAGTTTCATCACCTACCAAATGGTATTAATAAAGACACCTATTTGATAGGACAGTAGGTGAGGACTAGATGTGTCATGTAAAGTGCTCAGGCCAGCACATAAAGTAAATTTTAAATCAATTAAAATTAAAAGAACTAAAAGGCCAGGCATGTGGTGAACTCTAAATACACTGTGTTCCCCCACTCCGTTCCCATTAAACCTAACTGCTTGAGCCACAGCACTTGTCATAGCCCACACTTGCCCAGGACAGAAGAGGGTAGGTAGGATGAATGACACTGATACCACCACCTCTCCCCAAAGCTTCTTCCCTAGGTAGTCTCTTTATTAAGCTCCACACTTTTTTGTAACTCATTCTTCTCCTTCCTAACTTCTTTCTTAGCATTGATTTAAACATGAAAACCATTACCACACAGTTACCCTATTAAATTACAGGACTGGTTTGATGGATCAACATTTCTCTCAGTCACTAGCTCTCTGTGGGCTGTGAGGCAGAAGCAGCCCTTTAAGAAGCATTCTGGAAGAGGAGCTTTGGCCACTCTAATCACAGAGTGCTGTCTTAACTTTCTTCTCTGAGGCTGTAGAGAAGGAAATGGGAACATTAATTTAAGGTAGATTTTTAATGTCTAGTCAATTCTTTGAAAAGACTGTTCAAATGATCTCCTTGTGCCATTAATGAGGCTTCTTACTGGTTCTATTTGACTAATGTTTTATAACCTCAAATTTAGCGATGTAATTAAAAAGAAAAAATACAAGCTCTCTTGTGAAACTCCTTGTTCATTCTCAGCTTCCTTTAATACTGCCAATCAAAGAGGTTCTTAGTGCTGCTTGCTTAGGAAAAATAATTTCATTTCAAAAGCATTTGAGAAAACCTATAGATAACATAGCCTGATTTGGACCAACATGGTACTTATTCTATTGCCAAAGTTTTATTTGCTTTGGATTTTGCTATCACTGCTGCAGTTAACAGTAAGATACTAAGATAATCTTGGGGGCAGTATTTTTGAACACGTTTGTAAAAACTACAATACCAATAAAGCATTATAAGGTTTTTTGTTTTTTGTTTTGCTATATGTATTGGTTCAATTTATCTTATATAGCAGTCCGTGAATTAAACTGACCTGCAATCTGCTTTATTTCTATTTTAGGTGATAAAATATTCTAATTTAAATAGAGAATTCCAAGTGTTTTTAAATTTCGATACTTGCACTGAAAGGTGATTACTCTTTAATTGGAATCAACTTTGAGAATGTATAATTCAAACAGTAAAGTGAGAAATTAAAGTTTAGAAATGGAGACCTCAAACAATTTCTTCTACTGGAGGATAAACCAAACCAAAACCAAACTCACTGCCATCGAGTCGATTCTGATTCATAGCGACCCTCTCTGGGTTTCCCAGGCGGTAAATCTTTACGGAAGTAGATTGCCCTGTCTTCCTTCCGCAGAATGTCTGGTGGGTTTGAACTGCCAACCTTCTGGTTAGCAGTTCAATGCCATAGGCACCACGCCACCAGAGCTCTCTACTGAGTTAGGTAACAGAAGCCAATTTACTTGAAGTAAATTAGTTAAAGCAAATGCAACTAAGTCTTTAGAAACATTAAAAAGTACTTACAAAAAGCTGGAGAAACTTGAGGATTCTTTTGTGGGTAAGTATATAAAGTGCATTCCCACTGATAGGGTCAATAACTGGCAATCTGTGGATTTTATTTTTGATCAACGAGTATACAGCATCGAAGAGGCTGTGGGAAAAGCCATTAAAGTTGTTAGGAGGCTTTAAAGAAAATCCAGATAACATTTGGACCACCCCTGTTTTGAAAGCATTTTTAGTGTTTTTATACTACAATAATAAAAGGTTGAGAAGCTAAAATCAGTGTGTTGGAATTTTAAAATTGGAAATTTCAGCAAATTTTTTATTTGTACAATCTATGTTAATAAATCTCAAACAAAAGTGTGCTACAAACCTCTAGCAGAGTAGATTTTTAATGGCAGGTTTAATGATTTGATTTGAAAAATGGCAGAACCTAAACTGTGAGGAAAGCTAACAGAATAGCCGCAGTGGCAGGCTCACTGGGTAGAGGGCCAATGATCCTGTGGGGAACTCTGTGAGAACCCCACTCGTGGGTCTGCAGCATTGGCACTTCTGTTCTATTCGGGGTCTCACCTATGTTGCTAAGAATGTTCACTGGGTTTATTTTTTTTTTTATGATTTGGAAATAAAAAAATAATAAAAATTTTACTTTTCTATAGAGTGGTCTAGAATTTAGAAAACCATTTTACACAAATGTGAAAATGTGTTGAGAGCCATTCTAGAAGGCTTGAATCAGAAAGCATTGGCTAGAAAACTACAGACAGTGGCTCATTCTTGTGACAGCCTCTGAATCAATGTTTAATATATTTTGATTAAAAAAAATTATGATAAAATATATATATATAAAAGTCACCATTTCAACTATTTTAAGTGTATACTTCAGTGACATATTAATTAGATTCACAATGTTGGGCAACTATCACCATTATCTATTTCCAAAACTTTTTCAACACCCTAAACAGAAACTCCGTACCCATGAAGCAGTAACTCCCCTGTCCAACTCCCCTCCAGTCCCTGGTAACTGCATCTACTTTTTACTTCCATGAATTTGCCTATTTGTGATATTTCATGAAAGTGGAAGGACACAGTATTTGTCCTTTGTGTCTTACTTATTTGACTCAGCATAATATTTTCAAGGTTCATTCATGTCATAGCATGTTTCAGAATTTCATTTCTCTTCATGGTTGAATAATATTCCACTACATGTATGCATCACATTTTGTTTATCTGTTCATCTCTTATTGGACATTTAGGTTGTTTCTACTTTTTGGTTATTGTGAATAGTGCCACCACAACCACTGGTGTGCAAGTATCTTATATATTGATTTTTAAACTTTAATGTGTATCAGAATCACTGAGGGAGTTGTTTAAAAGTGTATTCCTGGGTACTGCTCTCCAGAGATTGATTTTATAGGTTGAGGGTAAAGCCCAGGAATCTGAAATTTTAACAAGTTCCCTGGACAGATTCTGCCTGAGGCAATCTGTACTTTCAAAACTGCTTATTAAGACCCTTTTCCTCAGTGAATTTACTCTGTAAATCTTCACCCAAATCAAAATAAAATTAAAAAAAAAAAAAGACCCTTTTCCTCGTCTACTATCAACTGCTAAATGAATTCAATTTAGCGGTTGGAATTACGGGAGCTGGTCCCTATCTAGATTGAAAAACATGTTCTACTTTCTGCCTGTCTACCTATTATGGTAACATAAATCTGAATGAATAAATGTTTTCAAAGAAGAAAAATTACAAGTTTACCTTGCATCGGGAGATATATTCACTAAAGGCTTAAATGTTTCTTGTAAATAAAGTTCTGTATTTATAGAAAGAAAATATGCAGTTAGTAACATATCTGTTGTTTGTAGTTATTAAATACAATACTCTTCAATTGATAGGTAATAATTAGGATTAAAAATTCAAATCAAAGAAATTTAATTTACCCAAAACTAATGTGTTGATTATTTAAAAAAAAAAAAACAAAACCCCACAAAACAACAAAACCAAACCCACTGCTATGGAGTCAATTCTAACTCATAGTGACCCCCAACTGGGTTTCTAAGGTGGTAAATCTTTACAGAAGTAGATTGCCCAGTCTTCCTGCAAAATGGCTGGTAGGTCTGAAGCACCAACCTTCTGGCTAACAGTCAAAATGCCTTAGACATTGTGCCACCAGAGCGCCTAGGGTTAATTATAGTTATGACTATTTGAAAAACTTCCAAACTGTTTCCAGATGCTGCCTTTGTGAAAAAATGTAAATAGTTAAAAAAAAAAATTATTAAATAAATGTTTAGAAAAAAAATTAGGACATTTGGTAAAAGAGTGATACAAGCAGAGGTCACCAGAATGCTAATGGATATTCCAATTTTACAACCCGTTACAAAGGTTGCTTACAATAGCAGGCAGATTATGGGAAGTATAAAGCTTAACTCCTTGGTTTCAAATTCAAAATTTCCCTTAGTTGGTCCCTGAATTCCTACCCAAAGGCTTTGAAGGGTGTTCTCACTAAGAAAGACCAATTTATCATGAAGTTAGACTTGAAAAAATGGTTCCATTTCAGAAAAGGGTTTTGTGATTATAAACAGTGGATTTCAATGCTACAAATAATAGAAACTTTTCAAGTTCTTAAAGTTCTTTTCATGTTATTTGATCTAAATCATCTAGTTTAAGTTCACTTGTTCTATGTTTCTCCATATTTTGTAAAGACATAGTTATTAAAATATAAATAAGGGTAGATCCTTTCTTTTGTTAAAGTTAGGCATTCCTTTGGTGCATTTTCTATATAGAGGCACATTTTTTAGGGTAACATTGCTTGACTGGAGGCTCCATTGTAGGCACTGAGTGGGCACTGGTCAGCTCACTCATCTTTATACTCTCAGCCCCAGAATAGGGCCTTGCACATGACAGGTGTTTATAAATGTCTGTTAAATAGAATAGATAGTAATTACAGTGCTGGGAGCTCTGGTGGTGCAGTGCCTAAGACATTTGAGTGCTAACCATAAGACTGGAGGTTCAAACCCACCAGCCACTCCTCAGAAGGATAATTGGGCAATCTACTTCCACAGAGATACTGCCTCGGAAACCTAAGGAGGGGTCAACTATGAGTTGGAAACAACTCAACAGTAGTTGAGTTTGGCTTGTTTTTTGCTTATGGCATACTATGAAAAATAAAATAGAAATAAACAGAATGATGGTTTTAATGAATACAGTTTACTACCAGGCGGAGAGAAATGGATCCAATGTATTAAGGTATATTTTACACATCAAGTGTATATATGTTTTCCTGCTGCTAGTATATACTGATGAGTAGATATTGAAGATCCAACAATACTTACCCCTCCATGTTTCAATCTTATGTTCCTCTAATTCATAAATCTGTACCTGTAAATAAGGGAAATTATTATTTACAAATGTTAACATATACAATAAGAAAAAAAGGAAATTACTCTTTTATTTCAAAACTATTACCGGGTCCAATAATTCAGCAGATGGAATCAATCCAAATGGTAATTCAGAAACCAGTATTTCTGAATAATGAATACTAGTAATATAAATGAGAAACATGTAAAATGCTTTGTATTTCTTTGAAGTTTCATGTTTTATAAACTTAAAATATAGTAGTATAATACTATCTTCTCAGTAACTTATTTGGAAAATTTCTTATACATTTAAGTTTTAAAGCACATATACACAGACACATTCAGTCCTTTTTTGAGGATGCAAAAGATTTTTAGCATCTCTAATCTAAAAAAGGCAATTGGCTAACTCATGTGGTAAAACTGGGTCCAAAGATCAGTTTATGCTGGGACATTGTCATCAAGTGGTTACCAAAGCAGAGTGGGTACAATGCTGTAAAATAAAGCAGCATGGAGTGATACAAAATAACTCTGCAAACCCTCCTATCTGTTCTAAATCCCAACTGTAGCTTTACCACTTCCTTCTTAGTTACTATTCTTGGGCAAATTATTTACCTTCTTTGGATCTTTTTTTCTACTGTACAATGGAATAAAAACACCCTCCTGATGAGCTTCTGTGACAATTACATGAGACAAAGTTCCTAGCAGGAAGCAGGTATTCAATGAACTTGAGTTCTCTATTCTATTTCTTCTGGCCCTTCCTAACCCTCAGCTCGGCTCTAGGCTCTCAGCATTATATGGGACTTATAGGGCACCTAAGATAAGAAAACCTGGTCTCTTCTTGAACCTTAAAAGTCAGGTGATTGGCATCCTGAAGACAGTTTTATATGAAAATTTCACTGAACAGTAGAAGAAAGCTTTATCGTAAGGTCATACTCTAAAAGAAAGATTTTCCTCAAAGCAGGATTTCAGCCAGGATCAGCATGATAGGTGGGATTTAGATAAACAAGGAAGGAAAACTTAAGGGCATGGATGAAAGGAAAAATATCTCACATTCACTGGAAAAAAAAGAGAGAGAGAGAGACAGTTGCTGTAGAGTCTGTTCTGACTCCTGGAGACCTACTCCTGGAGACCTTATGTGTGTCAGAATACAACTATACTCCACAGAGTTTCAATGGCTATAATCTTTATGGGAGTAGATTACCAGGCCTTTATTCTGAGGCACCTCTGGGTAGACTCAAACTTCCAACTCTGCAGTTAGTAGCTGAGTGTATTAACCATTGTACCACCCAGGGACTTCCAGAAAATCCTAATAAAGCTACAAAAAAGCAACCAGAATTAATAAGTGAATTTTGCAAGCCAACAGTCAATATATAAAAATTTTATTTTTATATATTAATGATGAATACTAAACGCAAAACGCAACCACTGGCTTGGAATTGGATCTGACTCATAGCAACCCCTCCTTGGGTTTCCCAGGTGGTTTCACTACGGAAGTAGATTGCCCAACTTTCCCTCCGAGGAGTGGCTGGTGGGTTTGAACTGCTAGCCTTCTGGTTAGCAGTCAAGTGCCTTAGGCACTACACCACCAGAGCTCCTAACGATGAATGATGAATACTAGAAAAAGAAAATAAAACACAGCTTTTACAATAGCATTTTTTCTGTTCATAATTAGAAAATGAGTTGAAATATGGAGAAAAGTACTTGTTTCTTCAAGTATTAAAAACTTTAGGCTGCAAATTTAGACATCATTTCTTTCAACAGTTTTGATTCAATTACCTATTGCTGAGATTTGTTAAACGCAGCTTGATTGCATTTTATAAAAATTAATTCATTTAATAATCACATTTGTGCTGATTTTGCTAGTCCAAAAATAGAGTTATGACCATTTTAAGAAAATCTAATATTTATTTGCACTGGTAATATTTAACAAATCAGGTATGTTATTTGAAATAAATAGAGAATACTTAGAGAATTTTTGGTAAAAATTCCATCTAAGAGTATTCTTACAAAGAAACGTATTTTCCCATTTTATGTAGGAACTAAATTGTTGGACACTACTGACCATTACATGGGAGCTCTGGTGGCGTAGTGCCTAAGGCATTTGACTGCTAACCAGAAGGCTGTCGGTTCAAACCCACCAGCCACTCCTCAGAAGGAAGGTTGAGGAATCTACTTCTGTAGTGATACTGCCTCAGAAACCCAAGGAGGGGTTGCTATGAGTTGGATCTGACTCGATGGCAGTGAGTTCGGTTTTTTTTTTGGTTTACTGACCATTTCACATATAAATAGTATTAACTGGATTGACATTTACCCTTTAGATACCCAAAATAGTAATAGTTCAAGAAGCAAAGTAAAGTATATCATTCCACCAGTCCTTTCTCCTTCTCTCCAAACAAAACAAGCATTAAAAGACAGAAGTGGCTTTCAAACTATGTTCTTATAGAACAAGAAAAGTCTCAGCTGGACAGGAAATTCTGCCACTAAAATTAGTCAGTTGACTAATTGACAGAAAAATGTCACAAAGTCAATTTCTTCAATTTTAATTAAGTTTTACTTCTTTTAAAGCTCAAAATACATATCGTTTGTGTTATATAATTGCTGGGGAATTGCATTCAACTATATTTATATCAACAGGCCTTTATAGACAATCCTATGGCAATCTAATCTCAAGAATGAGGTCATTACAAAAGTTAGTCACTGGGAGAAGAGGTTGGTGGGAGGGAAGGCCCCATTCACTCACAGATCTGAAGCCAATTCTCAACATTATAGCATGCTCACACAATGCCCTTATAGATCAATTATCACCATTTTAGTGAAACTAATAGAATATCTAGGTAATAAATAAGCATGTAGGTTTTAACTAACCCAAGTAGTTCCTTTTGTTTTTCCTGAGACTACCTTCTTCAAGCTTCAAATGTGAATGATTTGGGGCAAAGCTAGCTGTTTACTAGGATTAGAAGTTTTATATGACAGTTCCTTGCATGTTACATATATTTGAAAAATCCATACTATGACCACTCCGGTACCAAAAAAGGAAGGAAAAAATTCCACAAGAATATTAAATGCCCACACCCCTTTACAGAGACATGGGCACATATAGCTCCAATTACTGACAGAAGGACTGTTGGCACTCACCATGGGTGATTTGTAGTATCTATGGAGTATGTTTATGAAATCTGTAATCGTTAGCATTCCTGGAACAAAGAATTGTATGTTAGCAATAGAACTAAGAAAACTTGAAAGAAAAATCTCAAATGTCAACAGAACCTGGAACATTTAGAAAAGCTTTTAAAATAAAATATGCAGTTTAATAATTTTTTTAAAGTATTAATCTGTTAATTATCTATACAAAATTAGAAATGAAAATTTGGATGAAATTAAATCTGAAAGAAAGTACAATTGAATTAATCATAGTATTTGGCAAATCTGTAAGAGAAAACTTACTGATATTAAATAATCATAACAGAGTTGTACCTACAGGTACATTATTTAAAATACTTTAAAATAAGAAAGTATTGAGTAAGCTTTAGAAACATGACACTCTGTAAGTGAAAAGATTGTTTCCTGGGAAGCATTCCAAAATGATTTTGAAAGAAGACTTTTTTTTTTTCCCAAAAGTCACCATTTACTGAGTGCATACTAACTGCAAGACTCTAGGACCACAAAGATGAAAGAGAGATGAACATTTTCCCTGAGGAAATTATAACCTTGAATGAGAGGCAGACATAAACAGATCATCTCAAAATATTGTGCTAAGAGAGACTATATCCATTGTCTGCTATGATTTCTAAGATGAGAAATTATGACGTTTAAATAGTTTTAAGTTGCACATTTTTAATTGTGTGACAATGATTTAACAGTACAACAAAGATACCAATCATTTTTATACTATTTCCATTTGCCCTATCCAAAAGGTGTGTGTTAAAGAGATGAGAAATGATGTGTATACAACATTCTGGACCGACACCTTGATCCCAGGGGACTAACTGATGTGTGACCACAATGTAGATTTTGTTCACTGAACTCATAGGAACTAGCAAAGGCACTAAACCAAAAAGTTGCTAAATTAAAAGAAATCCAATAAAAGTACACCAGAGTTTGGAATTTATTAGCAGACCCATCTTACCCAGTATATCAAAGCAAAAATGTTCTATATGGGAGAACAGAAGGGCAGTGTATGCACAAGGAGACAGCTCAGGGGGCAGGAGTGCATGGAGGGAAGGGCACAGGGAAGAGGCAACTATGGGGAAGAAGTGGGAGGGGAGCTGCTGCATTGTGGTAAATTGTAGTCAATGTCATGAGACAAAGTGTATGTGAGCTGCTGTACGGAAAGTGAATTTGCTCTGTAAACTTTCACCCAAATCACAATAAAAATTAAAAAAAAAATGTTCGCTAATTTGGTAACATATTTACTCATTTGAATTTCCAATCACCACCTACTAAAATACCTTGGAGGCCTTCTGCTTTTAAAGTTCCCCTTAGAATTTTTTCCAGGCCCACACTGCTTACCTACAAAACTTTGTTTTTTACTCTCCCACAGTGGCGCTGCTCGAACACCATTGGCTACCAAGGCAAAGAAGGCCTTTTTAACCTGAAGATATAGACAAGGAGACAGAATATATTTTTAAAGCAGACATATGAGGAAGAAAAATACCTTCAACTAAAATATGTGATCTAGTCTTATCAACTATTTTCAAGTTTTGTAGGTTTGAAACAACAGAAATATTGAGTATATTAACATTTGGACAAATCCTTTTGTATAATACCCATAGGCATGCAGGGGATGGAGATTATTTTTCAAAACGTAAACAATATAATTAACATCAAAATGATTTTTTCTTATTGTTTCTAAAGACTTTTGTGTATATATATATTATTTGATTAAAACCATATAAAAGAATTCATTTTCAGTGTCTAATTTCTCCTAAGTGTGGTTATTAATTCATTTGAAAACACTACTGTTACATCAATTTACTTGAAATATAAATTTGTTTTTAATATGTTCAATCATAAAACAAATAAATATAATTTCTCAGTTTCCTGAAGAGAAAGAAGAGTACAGAAAGATGCAACATACTTGTATTTCTCAATCTTTTAGAGACAAACATTCACTGTGCACTTATTATGTGTCATGTACTGTTCAGAGTATGCACACACATTACCTCATTTAACACCTGAAACAAATATCCTTTGTAATAGCAAACCAACTGAAGGAGGTAGCACACTTGATGATTTAGTAATAGCCAAAAGCTCAACGCTTAAAATGATCCTCTAAATACAGACAGCAAAAAAGCATTTAGAAAATTTTCCAACCTTAAAAAGTAACCAAAGAAATGCAAATTAAACTTAAATTATCATGTACAGCTGCTAAATTAGCCAATATTTAAAAATTTTAACTCCTAAAGCAAGTGCTCTGGTATGTGCTTTAGGAGCTCTGGTAGCATAGTGCCTAGAGCACTTGACTGCTAACCAGAAGGCTGGCAGTTCAAACCCACCAGCCACTCCTCGGAAGGAAGGTTGGGCAATCTACTTCTGTGGTGATAACGCCTCAGAAACCCAAGAAGGGGTCGCTATGAGTCGGGTCCGACTCGACAGCACATAACAACAACAACAAAGCACGTGCTATTACTAAACCATTGGCGGCACCTTAATTACTGATTAAAAAAAATTTGTTTTTTGAAAGAAAGGCTCTATCAAGAATCACTCAAATATTCATACTGTTTCTACAATAGCTTTCTTTTTCATGTTGAATTATGTATTCACACTAAATTCTTCCAAGTAGGAAAATAAAAAATGTTTAATGTAGCATTATTTCTGATACAGAACACTGGAAAAATACCATCACCAACAAAAGAAAACATGTTAAATACTGGTACATCAATCAGATAAAAGATCAAATAGCAAAAAAACAGTATAATTATGAAGACTATATTGAAGTAAAAAAATGTTTAGGGCAGTTAAATATGAAGACAATAAAGTTACACATTATGAGAGTTTTGTTAAAATGGAAAAGACCAAAGGGAAATAAGTAAAAAGTTAAACTGCTATATTAAGCATAACAAAGTATATAACAAAGTAAGAGACCGTAACAAGTATAATTCTTTGAAATCACTTAAAAAGCCAACTGTTAAAAACCCTATGTACTACAGCTCTACTCTCATACAAACTGAGTCATGATGAGTTGAAACTGACTCATGGCAACTGGTGTTTAGGGCGTGAAATCAGACTCTATAAATGATAAATACTCCTTTATTGTGACACATTTTACCTTCAGTTAGAATTACTTATGTATATGCTTGGCTCACTTACAGAAGAATATAAGGACTACTTATAGGTAAGGAAAAACCATTAATTATTTGACATATTTATTTTAAACCACTCTAGTCCAGAGTTCTGAATGTAACAGGGGTTCTATCTTAGCTGAGTAAACTAGCAGAGGACTGGGAAGAGGAAGGATGTCAGGCAATCCAGTGACATGGAGTGAAACACTAACTTAATGGCATCCAAGGATAATGCGCCAATTTGAGTGGTCTGCTACATCTACCTGGAGGATACTTTGGAAATCCTTACTATGGTCCTATTGTAAAAAAAAAAAATATGGAGGAAAAGTCATATATGAATAAAGTTTAAAACACATTAAATATCCAATTACTTTATTTTTCTAAACTGGTTGGAGAAGGATGGATGGGAGGGAGGTCTTTCTCCCCACCCCCCTGAATTTTCATTGTGGTTTGGGTGACAGTTTACATAACAAATTCATTTTCCACACAGCAGATCACACACATTTTGTCTCATGACTGTAATTCTCCACAGTGTAACAGCACTGTTCCCACTTCCTCCTCACAGCCACCTCTTCCCTGTGTCCTTCTCTCCCATGTACTCCCACCCCCCAGAGCTGTCTCCCTGTGCAAACTTAGCCCTTCTGTTCTCCCATTACTGATAGCTCCAAGGAGTATATCTACCTGTGTAAATGTTCACCTCATATGCTTGTCTATTGTTTGGCTGGAAGCCACAGGAGTGAATTTAGTTCCAGACCTGATAGGTAACTAGGGTCATAGTCTCAGGGGTCTCACCAGGCTCTATCAGACCAGCAAATCCTTTTTTTTTTTTTTTTTAATCATTTTGAGTCTTTTCCACCTTGTTCTCCTACTCTATCCAGGATCTCTGACACTGTTCTTTTTCTGAGTGGATGACAATGTTAGCCAGGCACCACCTACTTCTTCTGGTCTCATGGTCATATAGGCTGAGGATCACATGGTCTACTAGTCCCTGGAACTAATTGTTTCCATGTGTCTTTGGTTTTCTTCATTCTTCTTTGCTCTGGATGAGGAAGACCAATTGTTGCATCTAGATGGCCTTCTGCAAGCTTTTAAGACCCCAGTCACTACTCACCAAAGTTGGATATAGAACAATGTTTTTGTGTAGTATGTTATGCCAATTCAGCTTGATGTCTCCAAGCCCACAGGTTAAATTACTTGCTCCCTCAGGGTAGCTTGCTATGGCCAAGAAGTTATCATAACTTTGTTCTATTATATATTTCTTACAGCACATACCCTGGAAGGAAGATGGGGCAATCTACTTCTGTAGTGATACTGCCTAGGAAACCCAAGGAGGGGTCGCTATGAGTTGGGTCCGACTCGACGGCATGTAACAACAACAACAACAGCAGCACATACAAATACATATGTAGAAATACCATCTACCAACCTTATATATGGTCATGGGTACACTTCCTTTTGCCTAGACAAACCTAGGAGCTCTGGTAGCATAGTGCCTAAGGCGCTTGACTGCTAACCAGGAGGCTGGCGGTTCAAACCTACCAGCCACTCCTCGGAAGGAAGGTTGGGCAATCTACTTCCGTAGTGATACTGCCTCGGAAACTCAAGAAGGGGCGCTATGAGTCAGGTCCGACTCCATGGCAAACAACAACAACAGACATACCTGATCATTCAGCCTGTCTGTCCATCTATTTACCTGTTGTTGTTTGCCATCGAGTCGGCCCCAACTCATAGCGACCCCTCCTTGAGTTTCCGAGGCAGTATCACTACGGAAGTAGGATTGCCCAACCTTCCTTCCGAGGAGTGGCTGGTGGGTTTGAACCGCCAGCCGTCTGGTTAGCAGGCAAGTGTCTTAGCCACTATGCTACCAGAGCTCCCATTTACCTGTAGGTTAATATTTCTTATCACGGCTAACACAGTACCATATATGAAAAAGGGTTTATCTTTGTTGTCTGTACCTCTTGTACCTCTCTGTCCTCCTCTTCCTCAGTGCCACTGTGGTGATCACTCACTTTTGGTACACTGCCATTCTCTTCACCTAAATCAATACTTATCTCTATCTATCTAGCAGTGGCCCCTTCCCATCCCTCCCACCCCTGGTAACCAACAATGACAGTTTCCTCCCATACATGTGACTTTTTATAATAGTGAACTAATACAACATTCATCCTTCTATGAAGGGAGGGATACTTTTAAAACCACAAATTGCTTGTTTTCTCCAAAATAACCAATTTAGCACAAACAAATAGTATTAAAACCATCAGGCTCATTCATGGCACCTAAGTGACCATAGCTATTGAAAAGCTATTCCAGAAACTTTCAAGTTTGGACATACTCAAATAGCTGAAAACAACTACACAGGGTTGAACAAAATATATAAAACACTATTTGAAGGTGCTGGAGTGCAACCAACACATGCAGGATTCAAGGAGCTACAGTTCTTTAAAGAAGAGAAACACATAGATTAGACTGAGCTTCACATTCATTCTGGCATTTTTCTGATGGCATTTTCTTAATTATCTTCATTAGGTAAATTTCAACAGAAAGTTGGAATCTATCAAAAAGAAACAAATGGACGTTCTAGAACTGAATATTATGTGAAATAAAGCACTGATAGGATGAGTTTAACATAAAACTAGACACAGGAAAAGTAAGGATAAGTGAACTTGAAGATAGATGGAAGATTTCCAAATGAAGCACAGAGAGGAAAAAGAATAGAACACCAGAACAGAGCATAAGAGACATGAGACATAATCAAAAGGTCTAACACATATGCAACCGGGGTCGCAGAAGGAAAGGAAAGAGAGAATGGGGAAGAAGCAGTGTTTGAAGAAATAGTAACTAAAAACTTTTCAAAATATGACATTAATCTCCAAATGCAAGAAACACAGCAAATCCCAGGCAGCATAAATACCAAATGACCCAGGGGCAGAGGGGATAATCTTTCAAACAAGATGGTAGCCAACTTTTTAACTATGGAAACCAAAATGCTGAAAAATAAAAGCTGCCAATCTAGCCCGTATATCCAGCAAAAACATCTTCATAAAGAAAGACAAAATAAGGAATGTTCTAAAACCAAGAAAAGTTGTGAAAATTGTCATCAGCCAACCTGCATTACAATATTAAGAGATTCTTTAGGCTGAATGACAAAGATTCTAGAACCATTAGAAGGAATGAAGAATACCAGGAAGAAAGATATGCAGGTAAATACAAATAATGAAAGAATTAATAATATCTTATGAGGTTTACAAAATATTAAGTAGTAAAATATATGACAATAACAGCATATAGGGTGATTGCAAAAATGACAAGG